GATGGAGACACACAGCCAGGATGGGGATAGGCAATGGGGATGGGGACATGGACCTGGGGATGGGGATATGGACCCAGGGATGGGGACACACAGCCAGCATGGGGATAGGCAATGGGGATGGGGACATGGACCCGTGATGGGGACACCCGAGGGGGCCCCGCGGGCACCCACCGTCGCGGGACATGCCGAGGCGCAGGCACTTCTGCAGGCGGCAGTGCTGGCACCGGTTGCGGCTGGTGCGGTCAATGGGGCAGTTCTGCTGCCGGCTGCAGGCGTAGCTCAGGCTGCTCTGCTGGCTGCGGCGGAAGAAGCCCTGCGCCGGGGGTCACCACACGGCACCCCATGGCACCCTATGGCACCCCATGGCACCCCATAGCTCCCCGTCCCACCTTGCAGCCCTCACAGGTGATGACGCCGTAGTGGATCCCCGAGGATTTGTCCCCACAGATCTTGCAGGGAATCACCTCGATGTGGGCTGCGGGGGGGGGGGGGGGGACGGACGGTGTGAGCACCCATAGACACCCCATGGCACCCAGAGCTCCCCCCATAGCACCCACAGGCCGTGGGTGTCCTCCTCCGGAGCCGTGTGTCCCGCATGGGCTCGCGCGGCGCACACGGGCTCATGTGTCACCCTATGGGGGTGACAGGTTCACGTCACCCCATGGGCTCACGTGTCCGCCGTGGGGCCACATCTGCCACCCCCGTTCCCACCAGGACCCCGTGGGTACCCGTGGCCCCGCTCATCCCCGATGAGCTCATCCCAGGAGCGTGCCCGGGGCCTCGGGGTTGCGGTGCCCCCGGGATCCCCCCCGGTTCCCCCCCCCCCGGTGCCCCCGCTCAGGTTCGGCCGAACCGGACGCCGGGGGCTGCGAAACCGCAGCGGCAGCGAGCGCCGGGGAAGCCGCAACTGGGGCACGGCCCCACCTCGCAGGAAGGCGCAGCCCCGGCCCCAGGGGACAGGGACCGCGGGGGGGGGGGGGGAGCCACAGGGACGGAGGCCCCGGGAATGGGGGCGCTGGGGACGGGGGACACCGGAGCCGCGGGACCCTGGCGCTGGGGACGCTGCGGGTCCCGTTCCCGGTCAGCCCCGCACGGGCAAGGACGCGCCCGAGCCCCGTCCTGCCCCTTCGCGTGCACGCGCGCACCCGCAGCCGCTCTCGCTCCTCTTCCTCCCGAGGCCCAAAAGCGGGGCCGCGTTCTCCCGTCGGGGCCGCATCCGGCACCGGGAGCCCGGGATGCGCCGCGTTGACTCAGCCCCGCGCCGGCGCTGCCGGGAAGCGCCCTTTCGGTGCGGCTCCTGCCGGGAACCGCGGCCAGAGGTCGCCGAGGTCTCGCCCGACGGCACCCGACGCTCCCACGGCACCGCGGGCACTCAACGGTGCCCCTCGGCAACCACCAGCACCCAACGGTGCCCCACGGCGCCCAACGGCACCCACCAGCGCCTAACGGCATCCGAAAGCACCCAGCGGTGCTCGCCAGCATCCACCAGCACCCAATGGTGCTCCTCAGCGCCCAACGGCACCCACCAGCACCCAGAGGTGCTCACCAGCACCTAACAGCACCCAACAGTGCTCCTCAGCGCCCAACGGCACCCACCAGCACCCAGTGTGGCTCACCAGCACCTAACGGCACCCACCAGCACCCACCGGTGCTCACCAGCACCTAACGGCACCCACCAGCACCCACTGTGGCTCACCAGCACCTAACGGCACCCGCCAGCACCCAGCAGTGCTCACCAGCACCTAACGGCACCCACCAGCACCCACTGGTTGTCACCAGCACCTACCGGCACCCACCAGCACCCACTGGTTGTCACCAGCACCTAACGGCACCCACCAGCACCCACTGGTTCTCATCAGCACCTAACGGCACCCACCAGCACCCAGCAGTGCTCACCAGCACCTAACGGCACCCACCAGCACCCACTGTTGCTCACCAGCACCTAATGGCACCCACCAGCACCCACTGGTTCTCATCAGCACCTAACGGCACCCACCAGCACCCAGCGGTGCCCACCAGCACCTAACAGCACCCACCAGCACCCAACGGTGCTCCCCAGCACCTAACGGCACCCACCAGCACCCAGCAGTGCTCACCAGCACCTAACGGCACCCATCAGCACCCAGCAGTGCTCCCCAGCACCTAACAGCACCCACCAGCACCCACCGGTGCTCACCCGCACCCAGCAGTGACCCACCAACACCCACCAGCACCCCAACGGCCCTATCGGCACCCAACAGTAGCCCCACAAGCACCCAACAGTGCCCATCAGATCCGCCAACACTCACCAGTACCCATGGTTGCCATCAGCACCCGGCAGCACCCACAGCCCCATTGGAACCCAACAGTCCCCATCAGAACCACCAACACCCACCAGCTCCAGGGGCATCCACCAGCACCCAGCATCCTCACCAGCATCTACCAGCACCCAGCATCCACAGGGTACCACAGCCCCAGAGGCACCCACTGCTGCATGGACTCCACCAAGCACCCATCAGCCCCATGAGCATCCGTTAGGACCCATCGGCAGCCATCCTCCCCTGGGTGGATGACCCGATGCAGCGTCATGGCAAAACACACCACGACACAGGCACACACGTCAGGGCATGGGCCAACACACCATGACACGGGCACACACGTCACGGCACGGGCCAACACGCCATGACATGGGCACACACATCACGGCATGGGCCAACACGCCATGACATGGGCACACACGTCACGGCACGGGCCAACACGCCATGACATGGGCACACACATCATGGCACGGGCCAACATGCCATAACATGGGCACACACGTCACGGCACAGGCCAACATGCCATGACACGGGCACACACGTCACGGCACGGGCCAACACGCCATAACATGGGCACACACGTCACGGCACAGGCCAACATGCCATGACACGGGCACACACGTCACGGCACGGGCCAACATGCCATAACATGGGCACACACGTCACGGCATGGGCCAACATGCCATGACATGGGCACACACATCACGGCACGGGCCAACACACCATGACATGGGCACACACATCATGGCACGGGCCAACACGCCATAACATGGGCACACACGTCACGGCACAGGCCAACATGCCATGACACGGGCACACACGTCACGGCACAGGCCAACATGCCATGACACGGGCACACACGTCACGGCACAGGCCAACACGCCATAACATGGGCACACACGTCACCCCGGTGTGCGGGTGCCCCTGCCTCAGTTTCCCCAGCAGCAAAGGGGGGGGGGGGGCCACCTGCGTGTCCCCATCTGTGTCCCCATCCGTGTCACCATCGTGTCCCCATCTGTGTCACCTGCGCCAGCCCCTACCACATCTAAGGGCGAGCGCCCGACCCGCAGCTGTGTGGGGGCACCCATGGGTGCTGGGGGGGGAGCACCCGGCTCCTGCCTCGGCCCCGTGCAGCTGCAGCTGTGGTGCAACATGCGTGCATGCCCTGCGACATGCATGTTCTCCCTGCAGCACATGGGCACCCTGTAACCCATGCAGGCTCTCTGCTCCATGCTCCGCGCATGGACACCCAGAGCCGTGTACAACACCCACACGCGTGCCCTACCCTGCACACATGTACAGGCAGCAACACGCTGTAACACGCGTGTGCACGTAGCAACACGCTGTAACATGGATGCACAGACCGCAGAGTGTGTGCAGATGCCACAGACGCGTGTACCCCCCAAAACACGCCTGCACACACCAGAACACGTGTGGCCATGTGCTGACACATGTGTGATGGCTATAAAACATGCATGATGCTGCACCAGGCTGACACATGCAGCCTCTACGCCCCGTCAGCTCCTGGCGCTCTCTCTCACACACACGCGCACCCTCACACGCGTGTGTGCCTACACATGTGCGTGCACACACACGCCTGCTGCGTGCTCCCATGCCCCCCCCTTTTGCACACGCACACGCTTCCACACGCGTGTACACGCTCCTGCGGGCTCCCACACGCACACCTGAGCGCAGAAGCTGCCACTGCTCGCACACGCGCGTGCACACGCGCCTGCTCCTAACCCTGCACACGCGTGTGCCCGCACCCGCTCCTCCGTGACCCCCTCACACGCACACACGCGTGTTCAGCCCCCCCCCCGCACACGCGTGTGCGCAGCCCGTGCCGGGCCCTACCTCTCATGGTGATGCCGGTGCCAGCAACGTGTGGGGCAGCGCTATAAGGGCGCGGGGGCCCCCCCCGCATCCTGCCCCCCCCCCCCTCCCCGCATCCTGCCCCCCCCCCCCCCCCCCTCCGGCCCCACGAGCTGGAAGTTTCCGACTTTCCACGGGGGGGAAACTGAGGCACGAGGGGGGGGCGGGGACCCCGGGGGGGGGGGGGGGGCAGTGACACCATCAGTGCCCCCCCCCCCCAGCGCCCCTCTGGGCCCATCCGTGGGGTGCGGCCGCGGGACCCCGATGTATCCGGTTCAGCCGCCTTTGGGTGCCCCCCGGGACCCCGCACCCCCGGGGCCCCACGGCCGCCGACCGGGCCCCGTGTCCCCGTGTGCCCGCGGCCGGCCCCACATGTCCGCGCTCTCCCCGTGGCCCCATGTGCGCCCCACGCCCCCCGGCTCCGTGTCCCCCCCTCGGGTCCGGTCCCCCCGGGTCCCACAGCCCTTTTGGCCCCGCCCACATCCCGTGACCCCGCCCACCGCACCATAGGGTCACGCCCACCTCTTATATGACCACGCCCCCCCCCCCCCCCAGTCCCGCCCGGGGCAGGGGGGGGGGTCCCGCGGGTACCCCAACGGGGACACCGGGGCGGGGAGGGGGGGGGTGTCCCAAAGACGTGACGTCACTCGTGACGTTACGCCCGATCGCTGGTGATTGCACACATCGTCAGCGGCCCGAAGGTGACGTCACCAGCCCCCCGTTAGACCCCAGAGGGGGAGAGGGACCCCGGGGTGATGGGGACACAGGGGAGACCCCATAAGGAGGGGGGGGGACACAGGGACCTGGGGGCACCCCAAGGGACGCAGCAGCTCCAGCGTAGTACAAAACAGCTTTATTTGGGGGGGGGGGCAGCGGGGGGGCGGCAGCACCCATGGGTCGGGGGGCAGCACCCATGGGGTGTTTGGATAGAACCCATGGGTGGCGAGGCAGCACCTAAGGGACGTGGGGTTTGGGTAGAACCCATGGGTGTTTGGGGAAGGGGGGGGGGGGGGGGGGGCAGAACCGCTGGGTGTTGGGAGGGGGCAGCAGCACCCATGGGTGCCGCCCTCACTTCCGGCCCTTCTGCTTCATGTGCAGCACGAAGTAGTCGTTGCAGGCGATGGTGAGCCCGGCCACCAGCGAGAAGAAGCCCTGGAAGCCAACTTTGCCATCCCGGCACTGGTCCAGGTCCTTCATGATCTTATCCAGCGCCATCGGGTCCCGCTGGTTCTGAGGAGGAGGAGGGGGGGGAATGATGGAAAAGGGGGGGTCAGTGTCTGCCATGGGGGGCAGCGTGTTATGGGGGTCCCAGCCAGGGTGCTGCGGGCTCCCGTTCTGCAGTGCTATAGGATGTAGGGTGTAGCATCCCACTCCCTCCAGGGTCCAATTCAGGGGTGTATGGGGTCGAATTTGGGGTGCTATAGGGCCCAAGCCTTATGCGCTAAGGGGACCCCCTTGGGGTGCTATGGGGTGTGATCCAAGGGTGCTCTAAGGTCCAGTTCAGGGGTGTATGGGGTCGAATTTGCGGTGCTATAGGGTCCAAGCCTTATGCGCTGAGGGGAACCCCCTCGGGGTGCTATGGGGTCTGATCCAAGGGTGCTCTAAGGTCCAATTCAGGGGTGTACAGGGTCGAATTTGGGGTGCTATAGGGTCCAAGCCTAATGAGCTAAGGGGACCCCCTTCGGGGTGCTATGGGGTCTGATCCAAGGGTGCTCTAGGGTCCAATTCAGGGGTGTACAGGGTCGAATTTGGGGTGCTATAGGGTTCAAGCCTGAAGTGCTATGGGGACCCCCCCACCCCGAGGTGCTATGGGGTCTGATCCAAGGGTGCTCTAGGGTCCAATTCAGGGGTGTATGGGGTCGAATTTGGGGTGCTATAAGGTCCAAGCCTGAGGCACTAAGGGGACCCCCCCGAGGTGCTATGGGGTCTGATGCAAGGGTGCTCTAAGGTCCAATTCAGGGGTGTATGGGGTCGAATTTGCGGTGCTATAGGGTCCAAGCCTTATGCACTGAGGGGAACCCCCTCGGGGTGCTATGGGGTCTGATCCAAGGGTGCTCTAAGGTCCAATTCAGGGGTGTACAGGGTCGAATTTGGGGTGCTATAGGGTTCAAGCCTGAAGTGCTATGGGGACCCCCCCACCCCGAGGTGCTATGGGGTCTGATCCAAGGGTGCTCTAGGGTCCAATTCAGGGGTGTACAGGGTCGAATTTGGGGTGCTATAGGGTCCAAGTCTAATGAGCTAAGGGGACCCCCTCGGGGTGCTATGGGGTCTGATCTAAGGGTGCTATAGGGTCCAATTAGGGGTGTATGGGGTCGAATTTGGGGTGCTATAAGGTCCAAGCCTGATGCACTAAGAGGACCCCCCCAGGGTGCTATGGGGTCTGATGCAAGGGTGCTCTAGGGTCCAATTCAGGGGTGTATCGGGTCGAATTTGCGGTGCTATAGGGTCCAAGCCTTATGCGCTGAGGGGACCCCCCTCGGGGTGTTATGGGGTCTGATCCAAGGGTGCTACAGGGTCCAGTTCAGGGGTGTATGGGGTCAAATTTGGGGTGCTATAAGGTCCAAGCCTGATGCACTAAGAGGACCCCCCCAGGGTGCTATGGGGTCTGATGCAAGGGTGCTATAGGGTCCGATTCAGGGGTGTATGGGGTCAAATTTGGGGTGCTATAGGGTCCAAGCCTGATGCACTAAGAGGACCCCCCCAGGGTGTTACAGGGTCTGATGCAAGGATGCTCTAGGGTCCAGCCTGGGGTGTATGTGGTCTAATTTCAGTGTGTTTTGGGGTCCTTTAGGGATCTCCCCCAGGGTGCTATAGGCTCCAAACTAGGGTGCTATGGGGCCTCTCCCCCCACCTCCAAGAAGCCGGGGAACTCCTTCTCCATGAGCGCCCGCAGGTCCTCCTTGCCGAGGTGGTTCTTGTCCCCCGCGTACTTATGGAAGGTGAACATGAGGGTCTCCATGGCGTGCTCCATCTGCGACGGCATGGTGGGGCTGCGGGGGGGGGGGGGGTACAGCTCAACCGGGGGGTCCCACATCCCTATCCCACTATCCCTATCCTACTATCCCCCCCTTACACCCAGCCGGGGCTGGCACCGCTCATCACCCGTGTAAGCGGTTTTCCAGCCGCTGGGAATGACTCAGCTCCAGCCGCGGGGGGGGCCGGGACGAGCGCACTGCATGTCCTGAGGGTGTGTCCCGTGTGTTCCCCCCCCCCCCCCTCCTCCCCACCGCCGGCTATGGGGCGCCCTGGGGAACCCCATTGCGCAAAGCCCCAGGCACGCCCTGCCTCCGTTTCCTCTTATAGGAGGGGTCATGGGGGGAGCATCCCCCTCCCAATGGGCGATGCCCCCCCCCCAAAATGTGACACCCTCCCCAAAGAATAAACCCCATCCAAAGGGTGCCCCCCCCCCCCCCAAAGGGGTGACCCCCCCCCATCACTTTGCCTGGCAGAAGCCTTGGGGGACAACAGAATAGGGGGAACCCCCCCCAACTCTCAATGTGCCCCCCCCGGAGCTGCAGAAAGGGGTCTGGGGGGGGGGGGTGGGTGTCAATGGGGGGGTCCCCCACTGCAGCGCCTGGCACCGAAACACGAACTGGCTTCACCTCCGAAACCTGGGGGGGTGCCCCCCAGCCCGGGATCCCCCCTCGAGCCCCAAAGGGATGCGGGAGCCCCCGGGGTGCGGGGACCCCCAAAACTCCCGGGGGGGGGGGGCGCGTCCCCCGTTATGGGGGGGGGCCCGGCGGGGGGCACGGTGGGGTCTCCCCCGACCGGGAGGGGCAGGATTGAGGGGTCCCCCTTGGGGGGGGTCGGTCAGGATTAGAGGGGGGGGGAGCGTCTCAATGAAGGGCTCGGGATGAACCCCCCCAATGGGGTGCGGGGATGGGGTCCCCCAAAGGATGAGGCTGCGGTGGTGGAGGGGGGCTCGGGGGTTCCGGTACTCACGGCGGCGGCGGCGGGAGCGCAGCGGGCAGTGGCGGGGAGCGCGCCGCCCGGGATAGGCACGGCAGGGGCGGGCCGGGGGGGGTCCGGGCCGGCCCCGCTGACTCACCCGCTGCCCGCATTAACCCCTTCGCCGGCCCCCCCCGAGCCACCGGGATCCCCGTTACCCCCTCCAGGATCCCCCCAGGTCCACCGGGGTCCCCCGAGCCACCGGGATCCCCGTTACTCATCCCGGGACCCCCCCGATCCACCGCCATCCCCGTTACCCCCCCCCCCTTCCCGGGGTCCCCCGGCATCCCCATGACCCACCCTAGGACCAACCGATTCACCGGGGTCCCCCCACCATGGTCCCCGTTCCCCCCCCCCCCCCGGGAACCCCGTTCCCCGACCCCGAACCCCTCCCCCGGTCCACCCGGGATCCCCCCCCCAGGGTCCCCTGGAGCCACCGCGATCCCCGTTACCCCCCCCCCCGGGTCCCCTCGGTTCCACAGGATCCCCGTTACCCCCCCCCCCCGGGACCCCCCCCCTGATCCACCGGGATCCCCGTTATCCCCTCCCGGGTCCCGTCCCCCAATTCATCCCCATCCTCCCCTCGGGGGGGAGGGCGGCACCCGGCGCGTGCTGCCTAATTACGGCTAATTAATTGATTAATCCCTCGCCCGTGCCGCCCCCCCCCCGCAGCACCCCACTATGGAAGGGGGGGGTCACACACACGGACATAGACGGGGCTCCCCCCCCCCTTCACCCCTCCACACACACAGGGAGGGGGGTTCCCGGGGTGCACCCCAAAGGGTGCAAAGGTTGAGGGCGGGCCCTGAGAGCACCCATGGGTGCGGGCCCGGCACCCTCTGCCGGTAGAGCGGGAGAAGGGGCGAGGGCCGGCCCGGTCCCGGTGCCGCTCCTTTGGGAGGGTCCTCCCCGGTTCTTCCCTTCCCCCTCATAACGCCACGACCCCTCCCAGCCCCAGTGCCCCCCCCCCCCCCGATCCCCAGGGACCCCCGCGCACCCCGGAACCCCCCGCCCCGTCGGGTCGCTCTGCCCTTAAACAAGATGTCGGCGGTGGCGGCGCGGAGCCGCCTGCCCGCTCCCAACATGGCGGCCGCGCCTCGACGTGTCCTCAGGGCGTGGCGGCGGTGCCCGCTTGCCCTCACCCAACATGGCGGCGGCCAGCCAGCGCTCCCGAAGGGCGCTGAAGCCTCAGCCGTGACCCGGATGTAGCCGCGCTCTTGCCCTTACCAAAGAGGGCGCCGCTCTCCGCGGCTTTCCCAACGGCGGTTGAAGGCGTCGAGGTGAGCGTGGACCCGGATGTGGGCGGGGCTCGGGGAAGAGGGGGGCGGATATTGCGTCACGCCGGAGCCGCCGCGGCCGCTTGCGAGCGGGGAGCGGAGCGGACGGAGCCAACATGGCGGCGCCGAGCCTGGGCCGGCCGTGACGGGGCGGTGCAGCGGGGCCGGGCCGGGCCGCGGCTATGGCGAGGGCAGCGTGAGGGGCTGTGCGTGCGGGTGAGGGACGGGCCCGGGAGCAGGCGGTTCCGCACACACCTCGGCGTCATCCGGTACCGGGCAGGGCCAGCGCAGAGAGGCCTCGGGCGCCGGGGGATGGCGGCCTAGCGGGGCCGCGCAGCAGAGCCCCGCGGAGCCGCCGAACCGGGCTCTTTGCGGCGGAGAACGGCGGCCGCGGCCGCGCTTTGGGCCGGGAGGCTTCGCAGGGCTTGTTTCCTTCCCCCCGGCTGCGGGGGGCCGGAGCCGGTAACCGGGAGGGGTCGGGCGAGCATCGCTCCTGCCCGCAGCCCCCGCGCTTTGGGGTGCAGCTCCGGGGGCTTTAACTTGGCTTGTACCGGAGCAGAGAGCGTCCGAGCAGGAGGCCCAGGCCCGGCTCCCCCTTTCCGCCCCCCCCGGTTGTTGGTGAGGCGGAGGGGCCGGTATGGGCCGCGGTGTGCGGGCTAACCCGGCTCCGAGGCGAGGTTCTCGCTTCCCCCCCCCCCCCACCTCCGAGGCGCTCGGCAGCAGCGGCCGCGCCGAGGGAGCAGCTCGGTAGGAAGGGAGCAGGGAGGCGGCTCCTCAGCAGCGGGGTCGTGGAACGAGGCATGAGGTAGAGAGCGCAGGGCGAGCGCTGGGACTTCCCTCGTCCTCCTCGAACCCATCGGTTATTGAATAGGGGGGGCAAAAACACCCCAGGCTTTTTTTTTTGGGGGGGGGGAGCCAAATAATTGGGTGGCTTCTGGCAAATCACCCCCGAATCCGGCTCTGGAAGTTTGGCTCCGGCGCTGCAAGAGCCACCAGGAACCTGCAGCCGGTGGAAGAAGTCAAGGAGCAAAGGGGATAGAAGCCTCCATCCAGCACGGCCGCTGTGGAAGCCGGGATATCAGAGCTCCTCTCTGAGGTGGGTGCTCCTCCGTGTGTTGTGCGTGTGTCACCCATTCCTTCTTCTGGATGGAGCTGTTCCAGGATGGAATGTGAGCCTCAGGGGGGGTTGATACCTCCAATAGTCCTGGCTGGGAATGCTTGGGAAGCTTTGGCTGCAGGTGGATCCCGACCCGCGCTCCTTTTGCTCATGGGTGAAGCTGTGTCCCAAGTGGTGTGTGTGTGTGGGAGGCTCCGGGAGAGCAGCTCCAGGGCTTTGGAATGTTGGTGTCCAGGTACCCGGGGGGAAGCTGTTCCTCGGTGCTGGTGGTGTTGGAAATGGAGGCTGGTGGTGGCAGGAGTTAGATGAGGCGATGGGGTGAAGTTCAGCATCCTCCATGCACCATAACTCCTCGATCTTACCCCAGAGCAGTGCCCAGCAGAGCTGCTTCTGCATCGGGCTTGTTCTCATGTGGTTACAGACACTGTGTGTGGTGACGCAGCGTGGCCGAGTGCTTCCTCTTCCTTCTCCTGAAGCCAATCCCCATGTCCTGTCCCTACATCCCTTGTCCCAAGCCCCTCTCCAGGTTTCCTGCAGCCCCCCTTCAGGCACTGGAGCTGCTCTCAGGTCTCCCCTTCAGGAGCCTTCTCTTCTCCAGGCTGCCCCAGCCCAGCTCTCTCAGCCTGGCTCCATGGCAGAGCTGCTCCAGCCCTCGCAGCAGCTCCGTGGCCTCGCTCCAGCAGCTCCACGTCCCTCTGGTGCTGCTGCCCCAGAGCTGGATGCAGGATATGGGGCCTCAGAGCGCAGCAGTGGGGCAGGATCCCTCCCATGCCCCTGCCCTGGGGGTGCTCCCAGCACATGGGGGGGTTCTCCTCACCCAGCACCCCTGAATGCCTCTCTATGGCTCTGGATCCATCCCCTCGGGGTTTGGGACTTGTGCGGGCAGGGATGCGCTGCGAGGAGCGGGGGCTCTGGGATGGACACCCCAGAAACCCCCAACGGGCACCAGGAGGAGCAGGGCGCCGGCTTTGGTGAAGTGCAGGGCACCCAGAGCTTGTTTTTCCTGTTCACCTTCCAGTGCAGGAATGACCCTGGAGGCTGAGGGTGGTTGGTGCCGGGTGTCTGAGCCTCCTGTCCCCCCCCTTGCCGCCGGTCAGGGGCCGCTCTGGCTGCTCCCTCCAGGCAATCCAAGGGATTTAAGGCTTTTCTCAGGGTATCGGTGCTGCGGGGTTAAGGCAGGAGGGGAGCCGGAGGTGAGGGCAAGCTGGGATCTCTTCCTTCCCATCTTCCCCTCCCGCTGGAATCCCCTGGTGCCTGGAAGGGAAAACCCAGCGTGGTTGGGACCAAACCAAACCTCTGCCCTGGTGAAAGGTCCCGAGAGCAGCTCCGGCTCTGGGGACAGAGGTCAGGCTCCTGTTGTGGTATCAACACGCTTGGGGCTGCAGCAGTGACCCGGCAGGCACCGGTCAGCACCGGTACCACGACACCAACCCGGTCTGGATGGGACCGTGCTGGCGTGGGTGCTCTCAGGTTAACGCTGCTCACCGCAAGGGTTTTGTTTTTGGCTGAGTTCCTGTGCCTTTCCTTCCCCAAAAGGTGGGCATTGGGACAGGCTGTCCAGGGCAGTGCTGGGATCCCTGGAAGCGTTCCCAATCCCTCGGTGCCATGGGTTAGTGATGGCCTTGGCAGTGCTGGGGAACGGTTGGCCAGGATGAGCTTAAAGGGCTTTTCAGCCGGGTTGGTTCCATGATTCCATGTGCTGCTGCTGCTGCTGTGGCTCCTGGGAAAGGCCTCTTCAGAACACAGCATTCCCAAGGTTGAGGAGAGCGGAGCGATCCGCTCGCAGTGTGCCCGGACCGCTGGGAGCAGCCTCCACGCATCTTCCACTGGAGCTATTTGCATCTTGA